AGTGTAGGGGTCACGTTTTACCGGTTCGATTTGACGTAACTAGAAGTCAAAACAGCAAGTAGGTAGAATGATATTGTACGTGTTACCTTATTTCGAGCGAGCACTTTTGAGTAGACGTAAGGAGAGAAGGATGGGGTAGGAACAAAGCGACCACTTCCTTGACTAACTTTCAGGGAACCATCCTCCTCCACAACCACGTGGCCGTTTGTGATAACTATTTGAGGTACACCGTGACATACCATACCCTCGAAAATGTTAAAATCGACATTTTGATGGTGAGATGAGGCAGAGATGGTGCGTGTGGCTTGAGGATCCCACACAACGATATCGGCGTCACAACCAACATCAATTCGACCCTTTCGTGGATAGATATTGAAAATTTTTGCTGCATTGGTACTTGTAATCGCGACAAATTTGCATGGATCAATGATACCAGAATTCTACAAAGTTTAAGTTATGCCTTTCTATATATACAGCTTCTTAAAAGGGCAATAAAATGAAGCACTTACAACACCTTTCTCCCAAATGACAGACATTCGGTCTTCAACACCATTTACACCATTTGGAATCTTGCGGAAGTCGTCCTTTCCAAGTGCCTTTTGGTCAGCCTTGAAAACGCAGTGATCCGTACCAGTGCATTCGAGATGCCCATTAGAGAGAGCTTTCATGAGTTCGGTTTCAGTACCGCTGGATCGCAGTGGTGGACTCATGACATACCCTGCTGCGTGACGCCAACACTTATTAAAGTAATGACTGGAATTAGTTCCGAGTCCAGCAGCGATGGCTTCACCGATAACTAGAATGCCTTCTTGTCTGGCGTCACATATCTTTTGAGCTGCCCCAGCACTCATTACATGGACAACATAGAGAGGACAATTGACAGAATCAGCCAGAGTTATGGCTCTCCCGGTAGCTTCGATTTCGCACTAAAATATTAAACTGCAAACTAAGACACCCACCTGCTCAGGGCGTGAATAGGAATGTCCCTCTGGCCCGAAAACACCTCGATTCACTACATCTTCCTGTTTACGCGCTATGAGTTTACCGTTTTCAGCATGAACTTGAGCGATTGCACCAAGGTCACGACAACGAACGAAAAAGTCATAGAGTTGATCGTCTTCGAGCATAAAGACATCAGGGTAAGCGAGGAAACTTTTGAAAGAATTCACACCCTTCTCCTTTGTCAGAATCTCCATTTCATCAGCAACTTTCTTGTCGAAATGAGGCACAATAACATGAAGAGCATAATCACAACAGACTTTTTTATCGGCGTTTTGGCGATAATGCTCATACGCATCCAGTATTGATGAACCACGTTTAGGGCAAACAAAGTCCACTAAAAACATAGAAACTCACAAATCGACATACTAATCATTGTAGTTCCACCAGCTAACGCAGCTCTTGTTCCTGTATAGAAATCGTCAGCAGAATATGTCCCCATGAAGGGCATTTCCATGTGAGTGTGTGTGTCAATGCCACCAGGAATAACCATTTTCCCTCGGACATCAATCATCCTAACACCTCCTGGGATCGTTAGATTGGACCCAACTTGTCTAAATGTATCAATAGTATAAAACTAAAAGATGTTACCTTATAATTCCATCTTCAATGTAGACATCAGCAGAGAACATGCGATCATCATTAACAACCGTACCTCCTTTCAGAAGCAACCTATTTTGAGCATTCTAATGACAATGAAAAAGACATTGTTTCATCGTACCTGTAAGTGGTGTGAAAGCTTGCCTGCACCAACGTTCACTCTTGAGCTATTCATATTCAATCGGCAAAATTACAGCAGAAATGGTCTAAAAGTAAAAAGCAGGCCCCCAATTTACATGTCCTTCAAGTTGGTAGACTAAAACAAAATAACATTTTCTTAAAAATAAACTGTGAAAACTAAGAGAAATCACAATTTGTAATTAATTATAGGTATGAAAATATTTTATTAAGGAATTTCAAGTGACCATTTAAAGAAATGTTAAATAACTTCTTCAAACCGAATAAACTACGCACATAAAACAGTTAAATATGATTTGACTTCGTAAATTTATTTAAGAATTTAATTTAAATACAAAAGGTTAAGTTATTAATCTCGAATTCAATGAAACACTAAGGACTTGCGGGAATAAAAACTATATCATCTAACGAGACAATTGCCTCCATTATGTCATAATGAAGTGAAAAAAAAACAGGCAAACTTTTCCGACTCTAATGGAGGGAAGACAGAGAGCCGACGATGAATTTTTAAATATGATCAAATATTAAATTATTTCGTATCATAGTTGAATTTGCAACTTATCCTTAAAGAATAATCAAAAGCGTTATTTTGATATAAATATCGCGCATGTGCCCATTATTTATGTTTATTAAAAAGCTCAATCAAGCATTTCGATTTACTTTTAATCTCTGAATGTTAATACGAAATCTGATAAATTTTACAATTGGTTACTTATGGTTTAGTGGTCTTTGAAAAATGTTTCATATTTTTCGTTTTAAACAACCCACATTCAAGGCTATAACTGACCGCCCAATTTGCATTCAAATTATCAAAGGCTCTTTTAGGTTGTGGGCCCCTTTTTGTATGTCTGGTTAAGTAAACGGTTAGTGTTTTACTAACTTAGGATGTCTCGGGCAAGGTCTATTGAATATATCAACACTTTTGAGGAGATAGCATCTGTTTTTGATGTAATTAACAAGATAGGTCAAGGTATAGCAACTGTCTACTAATTTTTGTTAAGGAACGTTTGGGACGGTTTTTTCTGTAAGGCCGAGGTTTGATCCGAATTCTTCAATATTAGCACTGAAAGTGATGGTTCCGACTACTGGACTTCGTCGAATCGAAAATGAGCTGCGCATTTTACGTGTACTCGAGTAAATTCCATTTTGAGTGTATGTCTTTTTAGTGGTCAAAATGGTGTTATTAAATTGATATCTGCAAAGAGAATTCGAGATCATGTTTTCATATTAACTCCATATATCAGATGCAAGTCTTTTTCTGTATGTTTTGTTTTCATCATTTAAACTTCCTATCCTTTAGCGCTATTATTTGACATACGATGAAAAAGAGATAAAAAGATATCTCACGTCTCTACTAAAAGCCTTAGAACATGTGCATCGTCATCGAATAATTCACAGAGATGTTAAACCCTCCAATTTTTTACTTGACCAATACACTCAGCAGTAAATTATCATTTCTTAAAATATTTTAAGGTACACTTTGGTAGATTTTGGTCTCGCTCATTCTCAAGAGGCTGGTGATGTGGACAGAAATTGGACTCCCACACCGATGCCTCTTGCTAATCCTAAACGGCAATTCTCCTTTGCTACTTCGAATTCTTGCAAGCACAAGCTAACTCGTTCTTTAGTTGATGACAAATATCATCTTGTTAGACGTTTCTGGGATGGCACGGATAGTGGAGACAGGTTGGTGCTTCGTTCCTCCTCTCTATCTGATTTACCAAACTCACCTACAACCTCAGATTCTTCAAAGCCTGCTTGCGTTTGTGGCAATCGTCTCACTGTTTGTCGTCCGTGCCTCAACTACCGCAAGGGCCCAACGGCTCGTAGAGGTGGCACTCTCGGCTACAGACCTCCTGAAGTGATTTATAACACTGCAAATCAGACCACTGCTGTGGATATTTGGGCTGTTGGTGTGATTTTTTGCTCATTTCTCACTGGGCATTATCCATTCATCCCTGGGGATAGTGATTTTGAGGCTATTCACGCTTTCACTCATTTACTCAGCTTTGAAAGAATGCAGAAAGGGGCTCAGGCAGTTGGAAAGAATCTTTACCTCTCTCCCAAACCATCTCCTCTTGCAGGCCAAAAAGACTACATTTACCTCAAAGATCGGTATATTTTATTAATCTGAATTTTTCTTTTATTATTACTTTATATTTGCAGTTGTGTCAGTATTGTCTTATTATCTTGGATTCTCACTAAATTCTAACTATTCGCTTGATCATTATTGGCCGATGATTAAAATGGCATTGGGATAGCGTTAATCAATTTTGCCTTATGAGATGAGTCTAGTTAAAGGTCAGAAAATTAAGTCCGTTGTATGTTTATCTCTAAGCTCTGAAAATTCTTCTTTATGGAACACTAGAACACACCTTTAGTCACCAAAATTTGAAAATAATTTACTGCTTTTTGTTTTTTTGAGACTTACGAAGTCTTGCATTCTAGTAAAAATTTTATTATATTGTTGAATTTTTTCGCAATTTTCGAATTTTAAAGACTTGAGAGGATTCGAAGGGAAATGAAGGAGCCTCCTCCACTTCCCCCAACTTTCTCTTCTGATGCTCCACCCCCAGGGCCCACTGTCGCTCTTCCAAGAAATTACAAATTCGAGGTCATGACCTTCGACCTCTGCTCACGTCTTCTCGAACCAAACCCACGTCTCCGAATATCCGCCTCTAAAGCTCTCGCCCACCCCTACCTCGCTGGTAGCAAATGATCCCCCTCCCCTCCCCTTCTTCATATAGCATGTTTGGCGCTATTTTTCGCACGCATTTGTACCGAATAAGATGTGTTTTTGAATTTGAAAGCACTTTCTTTTCTTATAAAATTAATTAAGGGAATATCGTCTATTTATAAATTATTAAAGCTATTATGATCCATTAGAGTAGTCTACTTGGGAGTATCAGCCTTATTGGCTCCACGAAAGGTCGATTTGAATTCTTTCAGCGTCTCAAGTAGACGATTGTCCTCAATTCCTAAGTCTGCACCGCCCGAGCAAAATACTCGAAGGTCTTCAAGCATACCAAGATCGAAGACTTCCTCCACAGTGGTTTGTCCACGCCATCTGCGAGGCAGCATATGATTCCACATCCAGAAGAAACCCACTTCAGTCTGTATTTCAAAGCAAGAGGTTTTCCTATCCAACACCGATCGACGGATGGATGGCTCTTCAAAAGTTCCAGTCGTAACTGTTGAATCCATGTCGGCATCCTGCATGCCTCCTCCAGGAGCCCCATTGTCAGAACACAAGGTTGTCTACGAGAAATAAAATTCCAATTATTCATTTGATAAACCTGATTTTTATTCAGCAGTTGGTACTCACGGCATAAGAGCAGGAGGATGGAGGATGGTTGTTGGTAGAAACCCTTCGAGGTGGCGTATGATCAGAAACGTTTTTACTCTCTTCTTTGGCCTCTGGTGTTGGTGGATTTTGTGGGATAACAGGATGAGTTGATGACGGGGTCTCTCGCGTTTTCTTTTTCGGAGGGCAGTGGGAGTACATGGGAACCATAGTGAACATGCCTCCAGATATGTGAACGAACATGCGCTGCGTGTAGGACATGCCTCTCGGTGGCTCATCACCGCAAGGAGGAGGGCAACCAAGAGTTTCACGGCCATCTGTCGCTGTCGCCTGTTGAACCGCCGGAGAGTAGGAGAGGGGAATGAATCCAAACCTTGGGGGAAGGGGGGGGATAGGTGCATTCACATAAGTGCAATTGCCTATTATCATTAATTTGAATGATAATTTACCTGCTCAGAATTCTCTCTTGAAAGTAAAACAATGCGACCATCTGTTCAGATTCGGGTAGTTCTATGGAACAGAAACATAATCCATTGAAACCAAGAAGTAATGCCAAGTTAAATGAAAAGAGGAGGAATGTGGAGTTACCTGGGAACAATTCAGCAACGATTTCACATGGAAGTGGGTCAGATTTCCGTTTTGGGATGTCATTTCTGGCACGAACAAGGTCGTATATTCGACAAGGGACGAAAATAGGTGCTCGAAGGGGATACAAGCTATAACGAGTCCCAGAGTATCCGAAAGGATAACACGGGGATGGGACTATCGAGAAACCGTGGCTCGTGGCTTTGTAGTAGAGAAAATGCAACAACTGAAATAGGAAAATACCAAAACCCCTCATGGTAAGTAGTTTCCTTAATATCTGATGAGATATTAAAATATCCGGCTAATGGAATGGGTTCCATTTTGGGATGCAGATTATTCAAGCAAATGCCATATCGAGGAGGAGTAAAGGGAGAAGCAAAATTTCTAGGCCTGACAAAATTAAATAAAGCTGTGACGTAAGAAGTAAGACGGGTAAGCTGAGAAGTAAGACGAAAGGTTTAATCAGTCTAGAGATAGTGGATACTACGAAATTGTACTCAACTGGTACGTGTCCCAACTTTGATAATAACGCTGTAGACCTCTCACTGAATCGTCATTTGATCAGTTTTTGTTCCATTGCTTTCAAATTTGTCAGTTTTAATCACGATTAAACAAACTTAAAAGCTCACCATTTCGTTAAGACGGCTTGGAGAAGCGACAAGCCATTGGATTTCAACTCCGAAAGCACAAGTTGGATGATAGTTGAGATCGTAGAGCAAACAATACCACTCGGGATGCTCTTTCAATGCTTGAGTAGCAACAGAAGTATTTGAAGAGTCGCGCAAATCTCGAGTAACGCGCTTTCGAAGCACTCCATCCGACCCAACTGAACACACACACAGAGAGAGAGAGAGTACGTTGAGAAATAAACCATTACTTCAAAAAGCAGTTTGGATTTTATTGTAGCACACTTTTCTCACCATGAATTTCTGAACTATTCGATGTCCCAAAAACTCGATTCAAACGAACCGAACTCAAAATACCATTTGCCAGGTGATTTATCTGATCCTCTGGTGAAATAGTGTCGCTTTCAAGGGAAGGACTCACAAGTCGAGAGTTGGTGGAGGAAAGGAAGAATGTGGAAGCGATAGTTGAGTTTGTCGGAGGTGGTGCATTACGAACAAGAAGTACTTCCATCCACTCTTTTTGGAAGTCTGTGGAGAAGAGTCCAAGAGGTGAAGTACTGCCTGGAGGAAGGTATGCAGTTGGGAAGGAAATCTTCCTAATGTCTGCAGATTTCAACAAACCTATCGGGTCTCCACTAAGTGATTTTCGATCGATTACTAAATAAAGACAGAAAAAAAGAGTAAAACTGAGCAAGAGAGGTTTGTCAGTTATAAAATTTCCTAAGCGTTGTGCTTTGATGGATGAAATAGTTTCAGTTATGCATATACATCCAAATGATCATCACTCTCTCCTTTACATGAGTAAATATCGAGAGGACATTATTTCCTCTGGAAATCCATGACTACCTAAAGAAAACAGATTCAGTAAATTTATAGATGGACGGAAACATTTAATGCTCATTGCCTCAACATAATCGAATTGTGATAAGTGTAAATACCGGAGTATCTTAACATCCATTCCTCTACAGATTAGCTTTAACCAATGAGAGAAGTCATTTAAACAAGCGAATAAGCCAGCTAATGGAATTTAGATTTACGTGATTGATAGATTTTGCCTCAAGTTAAAAATTTATTCAAGAGTACAGATGGAATTTCCTTTGAGAGCTAGAATGCTAAGAAAATCCAGATTTAGATGAAGAAAACCAAGGCTGAAATAAGGCGCAGTATAATGTAATTAAGGATTCCACGAAAAGAACCAACATTTTCAACAGCATCGAAACCCTTGAAGAGTACATCTCACTTTCTTATATTAATTCCAAATTTCTACACTGGCCCCTTTCTCACCAATATTTTCTCTTCAGGCGATTTCTAGTTCTGTTTTATCCCTCACCCACAGCCGCTTTCATAATAACCTAGTATGCAAAGTATGCCTCTCAATTTCCCATCCATACTGCCAACTTATGTTTACATATTCCACACCACTGTTCAGAATCCTCGCAAAAACGCTTTGTTTCACAATTTTCTTCGTGCCTGTCAGCATATTTTCAAGATTGAGAAGGGAAAAATTTGATAAGATAACATTCTGGACAGTTAATATTCCTTAGGCAAATATCAGCAATCAACGAAATCGATAACTCATAATTTTTCAAGAAATGATTAAGGCATATAACTATTTCTATAAGGAATTGTTGGATTTACATTGGGTTGAAGTAGGTGGTGTCTCGTTGGAATTTTGATTGTTAGGTGATTCGCTAATCT